TGAATAGCTCCCTTTCTGTCTGTCTACCCATGTGTATGAGGAACACCTGCACGTACAGTGCCTTGAACATCACCTTGCTGCCTGTCTCTCCTCACAGCTCAGGACTCGGCTAGACACGGTGCTGCACACAGTTCCCTTAACGTGTCAGCTGCTCACCATCTTCTCCTGTATTGACTTCTGCTGTTGCCTCATTCATGAAAACATGCCGTTAGCATGGGGCCTCATCTCCAGGACCTCAGTGGAGGGGATCCTGCTGAGGGACAGTGCAATTTTCCTCCTCTTCTCTACCAGTATACATTGAACATGACTTTGGTTTAGCTTCTGTAGCACGTTATTATAGACATAGGCTCATACATGTGTGCCCTAGCCAGATTGTGAGGATCGTTGAGAAGCAGAGTTTTAGGCATTCTTTTATTTGTAGCAAGAAGGACATTGCCATATTTTCAGTAGTACTAATCTGCAGTTTTTTCTTGAAGCTAATTAACCCATACGGCAGCAAGAGATTTTTATTGTAATATCTAACAATACAGAATACAAACCGTGGTGAATTCTGTGCAGTGTAAAACTCACTCAAAAGATTGAACTTGCAAATTTCCAGTTCTTCTGACTCAGGATGATACTCTGAATTGCGGCGATGGTGCCATTACAGGAGATGGTGACCTTTGAGGACGTGGCCGTGAGCTTCACCTGGGAGGAGTGGCAGGCCCTGGACGACGCTCAGAGGACCCTCTACCGGGACGTGATGCTGGAGACCTACCGGAGCCTGGCGTCCCTGGGTGAGCCAAACGGCCCTGTCACTGCCGAGCACAGCACTGTTTTCTTCTTTGCCAAATGTGAAACTTAATGAAGTTAACTGCTTTTAGCCTTAAGATTCCAGGCCAAGAAGAGGTGAGTGTTCAGCATTTTAGTCAGAGGTTCCAGGCGGCCCTTGATTTCACAGTTGCCAAAGTTCCGCTGTTGCCTAACTCAGAAGCCTTGAGACTGCAGCAGCCTGATCGAAGGCACACGTTATTCTCTCATCAGCAGGGGGCTGCGTGACCAAACCTGAGGTGATCATCAGGCTGGAGCAGGGAGCAGAGCCGTGGACCGTGGAGGTGCCCCGAAACCAGGGCCTCTCAGGTCAGGGCGCGGGCAGCGGGGGCGGGGCAGAGGGGCACGCCGCAGGTGTCGGCCGTTGCTTCCCAGCGTTCTCCCTAGCCCGGGCCCAGGCTGCATGTGTCAGACACGGTCATCCTTCGTTCTTCACCTGCGGGTCCCGTTCAGACGTCTCCCCCTCTTTAGAGTGGTTTTTATTTTATTTTTTTTGCTTAGACTTAACCAAAAGCCAGTCTCTGCCTGCCTCCTCTTACAGCTGGTTTGGTTAGTTACTGTCTCTAGAACCTCGGTCACCACCTTTTCCTCCACTCTTCTTGACTGTTTTAGACTTTTATTCATACATTTGTGTATTCCTTCAGCATACTAATTTTGAAATTTTACACATAGCAAAATACTTTTGCTCATATCAACAGTAGCCACATAAATGTCCTTTTTTAGTAGAGCTTACACTCTGTTAGGGAGAAAGGGAAAGAAGTAAGTGTTTAACAGCGCAAGAAGAGTCAAGACATGTTTAAGTGTAATAAGGGCTAACAAAGGGGGCGTTACTCCTAGAACAGGAATTAAAACTTTAAGGCAGGTGTTTTTCATTTTGACATAAATTTCACATGTAGAGGGTACCTCACCACGGAAGGGCCCAGCGAGGGACTCCCTCGCTCAGACGGGAAGCAGTAGGGGCCAGTTTGGGCAGCGCCTAGGGGCCTGCAGAGACATCCGGGACGTGCCTGTGAACCAAACGTCAGCCGCCGAGAAGCCGAGCAGGACCCAGCCGCTGCTCACCTGGGAAAGGTGTGGGGCGATACCTGGGGGAGAAACTAAAGTTTGTTTCTCTATGGAGCCAAGAATTGTAGTCTGGGGAGTTTAGCATTTTGGGGGACTTACAGTTTGGGGGTGCAGTTTAAGTTAGCATTTTCACCTTCCCTTGTGGAAATTATTTTAAAATAATGATAAGAAACATACAAGGAATTCTGCTTTCACTCTAAGTAGGGCATAGCTGAAATTCCTAAGTACAATAAAAGTCTTCAGAACCAGTGAATTATCAAGTAGGCACTGTCTTACCAGGCAGGGGAGAATGAGGGATCCTGATCTCAGAAGGCGCCAGAATAAGCTTCTCAGAGGTAGTGAGGACTGTCTGGGTTGCAGAACCCAGTTCAGCAAGGAAGTGTACAGAGTTGTGAGTCAGGGCTTCTGGAACCTGCCCTGTTTCCTGGAAGCCATTACTGCAACGCTCGCCTTGGACTTGCAAAGCTGTGTTCTCTGGCTGCTTTGTCTTTGGAACGGCACCGCAGAGCCACAGGCTCCGTTTGGGCAGCGACCCAGCCGCTGCTCACCTGGGAGTAGATGCGCCACAGGCTC